ACATTTTCATTATTGTGTATTATACGTACATTATTATACAGTGAAACCTTCCCTAACGGATACCTCTAATTTAGTAGTCACCTCCAAATAGTGAACATTTTTTCAGGAACGGTGACATATTCACTAATTTTATACAGGAAAACCCCTTAATACCGGACACTCTAAATAACGGACACTTATGGCAATTTTATTTTAACAATTTTTATCGTAGATATAGAATAGTCGTAGAATGATTTATTAAATATATATTTATCTATATTATAATTTTAAGTTTATTTTATCTGTCCATTATCACGCCAATGAAAACATTTATCTAGTTTATGTTCTGTGAAGTATCCTACTCGTATTTAGTTGTGTTTGTAATTCCATTACATACGAATACATATTCATAAACTTATTGTCTCCAACGCAGTTGAATTAAAAAATTTCGTGATTCACGAAATTACTATGCATCAACGTCTAAACAAGCTAAAACAACTGATTTTTTCATATAATTTTAAATAATAATATGTACAATAATATAATATCAATATTATTATTTACATTAAAATAATAGAAATATAGAAACATCATTGATTATAAATATTATATAAATAACAAATGTTATAAAATATGTTAATATTAATTTCTCCTAGTTATTTTCGAGAATTTACCCCCCCCCCCTACCTCTTAATAGCTGACACCTCTAAATAATGGACAAAATCATGGCAACAGAGAGTGTCCGGTATTTAGAGGTTTCACTGTATTAAATTAATAAATCAAAAAAAAAATTAAGYAAAGAAAATCTAAAATATGCTTGTGCTTGCCCACTGGGATATCAAGACAATTTTGACAGACCCGAGACCCCCTTTAAATTTTTGGATCGTACTCCGAATAAAATAAACATGGCTTTTAGTWATTTTATCATTTATTATTTTTTACAATTTAAATCGACTACTTTTCTAATGTTTATTGAAATTAATAACCAGAACAAAATAAATCCACCTGCATCAGACCACATAGGACAAATATTATGATTATCAGATTATCGTTTTTACTAGTTACTGATGATGTAATTTTTTGATATATGAACGTAAATATATGGATCGTGGACAAATAATCGGTGTTGAATATGTTAAAAACTAATACATTTAATTTAATATTTACAATTTTAAAAACTTCCTGACTAGTTTCAGAATTATTAAAACATCAAAAAATGCCTTTATATAGTTCTATATAATATTATTACTTTTAAATTAGATTATATACCTAGATCGATTAATTCTCATATTAAAAACTGCAGATTAAAATAAAAATTCTTCTGAACATAAAATTAYAATGTTTTTGCATTTGGTAGTAATACGGTGTCAACACATCCGGGCACGACTTTTTTCTAACTTTCTCTTATTTTTATTAAGATAATTATTAGTGTTTATCTGAATATATTTAATTAATGTAAAAGTATAATTTTCAAACAAATATTAGTTAAAAAAACAAAAAATAATAGTAATTTTTTAAAGTATAGTACCTATATCTTTTTTATATATTATGAACGATTCAGACTATGATTGGTGATGATGTTGACTGACTTAATAACTTATGATTAATACATTATGTGTAACAGATTTCTATTACATACGATATTCCAAAAAAATATAAACCACCGTTATCATGGCAGAATTAATAAACTCAAATCGTCCTGAAATAGATCTTTTTATGTGAAATTATTACTATAGATTTACGTATTAATTCTTAAATAACCAAACGTTTAATTCTATAAATTATGCAGAAAAGCAAAATATGTCATATTTTAGTCCGGCACAGTTAATTAAAATGTATAAACAATAACCTTTAACATGTAARCCTCACAAAAGTCGACCTCTAGTAGCAGATACAGCTTTCAAATTATATACTTACATTGCTGTACCGGATATATTTATATTTTTATACAATATAATCACGATTGTAAATCCGTTAAATTTTCGTTTTTATAAAGAAATTTAAATGGTAATAAATTTAATACCTTCGTCTTAATCGACATGTATTTAAACACGTACATAATCAAAGTTTTTATGTTATCTAATTTTTCACATGTTTGTTTAACTATGTATAGGTAATCGCATGATCCTTGAATTTACGTTATATTCTCATGCATTAATATTACACCCAATCGAATTGCATTCAAATCGTGTTAGTGTACAGACCGATCCCGCTGCGCCGGCCGCCGGGTATAATATATATTATCATCATTTCTGTGTACGTTTAATTGCGTATCTATAACGCCGTATACTTACTAATGATATTAACTAATAATAATATACTATACGTCCTGCACATTGAATGCCAGGCCACTCACTCACGTTTAATAGGCAATTGACAAGTCTTGATAAAAAATTTAAATTAAAGAATTATTTCCGTACTTTAATTTGAACCCTATTTAACAATATATAGATTCAACATAAATTATATTGTCGTCGCCGGTTATTAATGATTTTAAAATACAATGGGAATTCTTATGTTACAGCGTTTAATTAAAACTTTTTTTTAACGATTCTAGAAACTCATTAGTTATTACGTACTGATTCTATCTGCAAGTAGCTATGAACCTATAGTTAATTACACCAAAATCCATTATTTCCACACTCTAAAACAACACAAATTATGGGTAGATATAGTAAATATAGGTTGGTACCTAATTATAGGGTGTGAATCTTGCAACAAATATTTTCACAAGGCCCTTAAACTTGAACATTTATATGATCTTCAAAATAAACAAAACACCCTTGTTATCATAGTAAAATACAAAATCAAATTACAAACATATATGTTTAAGTAATTTTAAAACATTATTTACTAATGCAGCAATAAGATCAATATATTAAATAAATAGTAATATATCCTACCTTATATGTTAATGTGGTATTAGATTAGATTATTAAATATGCACTGCTAACATTGCGATCATTAAAAGTTGGGTAGGTACTTTATATTTGATGAGTATGTAAAAATAATTCATTTAATCAGAAAAATAATATTTTACGGTCCTTTACTAATGTAATGAGTGACTTCTTCAAACAAGTTTATTTGTGTAAAATCATATGATATTTTGTATCATTATAACATTATGTGCTAAATAAATGTACAAATGATTTYGTATTTCAATCAAAAAACCATTAATTAATTCTTTTAAATTAGTAAGTAAAGTAGTTAATATTTTTCTCAAACAAAACYGATTATCAAGATAATAACTAAGATCAATAAAAAACAAATAATAATACATTTTTCGAGTATATAGAATTACATTTTTAGAATACATTCAATGCTCATTAAATAAAAAATACGCCTAGGATCAAATAGAAGAGTTAATTAAAAATAAAATTCAAAACATATATTTACGTAATATAGACATAATATTATATGCGTAAGATTATTTTTGAGTATAATCACTTTTCTTGTATAAATGATAAAACACAGAAAATGGCAATACATATAATATAAAAGATAGTGCACACTACAAGTTGCATGGAATAAAAAAATCTAAATGTACAATTTGAATWAAAAAAAAATTGGTCTTTTGCGATAAAATATTTTGATGCAAAATTAGTACAACATTTTTAAGTTCGATAAAATGAATAAATAACGCTTAATAAACTTAATACACTGATTATGTCTTGATGAAATTGCAATTCACCGTGATATAATATCTTTTATGTATACAGGTATGATAAATTGATAACATATATATAACTGTAGTTACTAAGTTGTAACAAA